GGGAGACAGCCTTCTCTTTCAACTGCCTTTACCTCCATAGATGCCACACCTGCTCTTGCTCCCTGAGCCAGGAGACATGTAGTAGTCAGAGGGGCCCTAGTACCCAGACAAGGGGAAGGGCATGGCATTGGAGCATGAGGCGGGTGTCAAAGCATAGTGCTGTGATATACCCAGTGGTGGCTCAGAAAAAATTGAGTTTCTCCAAGGTGGAGTGGAGGAAAGGGACAGCTGGGAAAGGGACAGCCCTTGAGCTGGCCTTCAGTGCTGGGGAGGTGAGCAGACGGAAGGTAGGAAGTCTTCCTCTGAGCTGAAGGGACAACACGTGTAAATGTACAGCAAGCCTCCAGGCATGATGAAAATGGGAGAGCAAGCCAGCAGGTCAGGCTGGAGAAACAGTGCCTGATGGAAGAACTTTGTAGATTGGCCCAGAGCTGAGGTCTTGGTGCAGGGGTCTGGTACCATCAGACGCTAGCCTGACAGCAGCCCACACTTACTTGGATCTCATGTAAAAGCTCTGGAGCCACAGCCAGGACAGCACCAGCATGAGCACCATGTTGGGGAAGGCAAATCCAAACCAAGATGCAAAATTGATGGTGTCTTTACTGTCAGGAAACAATCTGAAAGGAGAAACACTGGTCTGTACCTCCACTGCCATGCTAGGCTGTGGGGAGCAGGACAGGCAGCTGAACCCTGAGAGATGGATGGGTCTGACCGCAGGCCACATAAGTTTGGGGTCCAGTCACCAGGATTCATCATTGTTGGGGACCCCAGAATATGGCCTCAGCAAGAGATAAGACTGAAGAATGAATGGCTAGGGATATTTCTGCTGAATCATGGAAGTACAGCCCAGGCCTCTGGAAAAGCACACCTTTGCCACACATGCACACGATCTGGACAGCAGCTTAAGGGGGTGCATGGATGCCTCTGAACCCTCACTCTGTGTGTTTCTGCAGGGGACTTCTCTGTGGACTGGAAGATGTTCTCCAAGCCCTGCCTTCCTCCCAAACCAGACTCTGCCTCCTTGGCCTGTTTAGCTCAAGGGCATCAAATCCCACACAGAACCTCCCCCAATCAGCCAGGCAGGCTGTTTTTTGTTTGTTTATTTGTTTGTTTGTTTGTTTGTTTGTTTCAGTGGAATTTAAGGGAAAGTCCTAAGGTTGTGAGCGTAGAAAACACTTTCAGGATCAAAAGACCCTAGTCACTAAATCTCAAGTTTTTGACCCAAAAGGCCAGCTACTGCTCTGTCTGTCACTCTCTCCTTTGTACCTCCCAGCTCCAGTTCCAGATGCTCTCCTCACCCATGTCTAGAACTCTTGTCTAAACAAAAGAGGCACTGCCTCCTTTTTGTTTCTTACCATTTGTACGTACTTCAATTAACACATTTACTTGCCAGGCTGCTTGAAGATCCCTGTAGCTGACACTCCCAGCAGATCATGAAAAGCCTATGATGGGTCCCAGACTTCTCTTCACTCCATCATATTCCAAGCCCACCCAGCACAAGACAGAGCCCACACATGGGATCCTCACAGCCTGTGTCCCTTTGCAGTCAAAGATGGGCATTTCTAGATTGCCCTCGTAGTGCACCCAAGGCCTTGGGGATACTCAATTAATGGAATTATAGTGAAGGAGACTGCAAGGCAATCGGTGGTCCAACACCAACTCTCTGTGCCATCTGTAGACCCTGAATATAACAGGACCCTGGCCATTATCAGTCAATGCTAGTGAGCTAAGAGGGGCTCTTTTAGAGATGTCCATTTTCTGTGAATTCAACCCACTGTCATTTCCTATGATGTTAGTGCTGAATCCAGGCTTCATTCCCTGTCTGAGATAGAAGCCCTGAACATTGAAAGAAGTTGGACTTGGCCCATGGAAGAAAGCAGCCTTGTCCATGAGCTTCAGGATGTCAGGTCTCCCAGTCTCTGGGAGGACTCTTAGTGGGTACAAGAATGCTGGGACACAGAGACTATATATGGGTTCATCTTCCCACCCTACTACACTGATGGCTTCAGGGCCAAGACAGGAGGAGAAGAGAGCCGAGTCAGCACCTCCAGCCCCAGAAACCCATGGTGATGTCTCCTGAAGGCACAGTCATGACTCACTCCTGCATCTGGCCCAGGCCCACCACGTTGGGTCCCGTCCCGGTCAAGGTGGCCGTACCCCCAATGCTGGCTGCATAGCACACACATAGGTTCATAGCCTTGTACATGTTCTTTGTGTCTTCATCCTCATGCTTCTGCGCAGCGAGGTCCTCAAATATCACCTGGTTTCCTAGGGTGGACACGGAGCTGTTAGCCATGTCAGTTGTGAGGCCACCCAGCCATTCAGAGCTCTGTACTCTGCTACTAACATGAGGTCAGGCACACACCTGGCCCAGTACACACACATTCCTCAGCTCCAGCCGCAAACCTCAGTCAAGCCCCATCTGCCTTCCCATGATCCCTTCACATGGCTTCCCGTGTACCTGCCAAGCCCAGAAATGTAAGGCAGATATTCCTATTTCCTGGGTCCTTCCTGTTTATTGCTCAAGCCACTCCCTGAATCCCAGGGTGTCTCAGTCTAGCTCAGATGCCTCTCCTCCGAGTGAAGCCCTCCTTCTCTGAGCTGCCATGCTGTCCAGCCTGCCTACGGCTTCTTCTCCTGGAGTAGATGATTTGGATGAGAGTGCCCACTTAGGTCACCCCACTGGGCTCCACAAGAGTCAGAGGTCAGAGTGTGCATGCTCACTTCCCATGTTGCCAGAACCTCACCCAGGACCTAGACACCAAGCAGTAACCATAGTTCCTGAGTTCTTTCCATGCAGAATCCTGGGGAAGAATAGAGAAGCAAACCCCAAGACCTAAGGGAGTAGACAAAGGGGTGACCTGCTCAAGGAGAGCCAAGAAGGCAGCCCCAAAGAAAATAAGAGTAGCGAGGGTGAGGAGCATCCGTCAGCTGCTCAAAGATGCATAAATGAATTGTCAAATGAATACTCAGTGCTTTTTATCGTGGGGCTAGTTATGACCTCTGGCTAAATCATGTAACATTCTAAGCTTAAGTAAAGGATCTGTCTTTTGTGTGATAACCAAAACCCAAATATTAATAACAAAACTATTTCTCTGGTTTTTCCCCCCTCTGTGTATGTTTAAGGAATGGCATAGGAAGACCAGGAGGAAGGAGGTAACCATAGCATCTGGCAACTGCAGGGAATTCCGGCCATGGCTGCAATACCTAAGCCAGTGTGTACCTGGAAACTCGCCGGCCTTGTTCTTGTCTGACAGCTCCAGTGTCCCCTGGCAGACATCCACAGCTGCATTGGTGGCTACCATTTGCTGCAGCATAGCCTCCACAATGGGTATCATCATGGCTGTGGTGGCAGTATTGCTGATCCACATGGACAAGAAGGCCGTGATGAACATAAAGCCCAGCATCAACCTATAGAGAAAGGGCAGGGTGGAAATCCAGAGTCCCTCGTGCCCTACCCACCACATCCCAGGGCACAGTTAGGAACTAGAGCCACCCCCTTCCTGACAGCTCAAGACCAGGTGTTCCAACACGGGGTGGCAGTTTGAGCGGCTCTCTTCTCTCCCTTGCCCTTCTTCCCCGCCCTCCTCCCTCCCTGTGACAGTTCATTTTCATTGTCAACTTGGCTGGATGCCTAGTCAAAAAGTACACTTCTGGGGGAGGGAGCTAGGAGAATGAGAAGGAGAGAAGAGGAGGAATGCAGAGGACATGAGGGAGCAGAAAGGTTGAGTCAGGGGATAAATAGATGATAACAAGAATGGAGATATCATAATAGAGGGAGACATTTTTGGTTTACAGAGAAATCAGGCACTAGGGAAATGTCTGGAGACCTACAAAGATGACACCAGCTAGCAATCTAAGCAACAGAGGAGAGGCTACCTTAAATGCCCTCCCCTGATAATG